TAAGGTGCCATTATTCTTGTTTTAGATTAGTTTATATTCAGGTGCCCAAAGGAAATTTAAGGTTGCATGTCTAATTACCAAACACAGTTCCTAAATGTTCAATCATGTAGTATATGTTTGAAAAGTTAATTCAAATTCAATTCAAATTTTATCAATGCACTATCACTTTGTGTCATCTATTAAACACCAAGATCATCTAATATATACAACTAATGCATCATCAAATTTACCAAGAAGTACATGTATTTCTTTTGTCACCTTAGACACTCTGGTGAGTTTGAGAGAATGCAGTCTCTGAAAATCTGGAAAGTGTTAGAAAATGAGCTTATTGCATGATCTATGAGCTCCTTAACAGCAGAGTCATATTTTTCTCCAAATCCCCAGAAGAATCTAACATACTACTCTGTAGAAAGTAGATGAGGAGTAAATACTTTGGATGGACAGATTTCTTTAGGAGCACAGGGAAGTGGAAGATATGATTGATTTGCCGAAGACTACATTTTATTCCTCTCTGAAAACTCTATACTCACCCAGGTGCCTGGAACAAAGTAGAAGGATCTTAATAACCTTTTTTTTTTTTTTTTTTTTTTTTGTATGAGTTGTATTCCTTGACTTAGGGTCTGATTTTCACAGAGTAAGGTCTGTAATTCTTGGTAAAAGTAACTAGGAGTTGCCTGGACATTACTTGACATAAAATCTCCCAAGTGTAATGTGAATCACCTGTTACCATTGTCTTTCATACTTAATTTTCCAACAGAGAGTCTACAAATAATTAACACTAGTTAACTGAAGTGTCGTGATTTTATTTCCTGATTTAATCTCTGTCAAATACATTATTAGTGAAATGGTCAAGAAGAGTTAGAGAAAGGGCTCTGGCAAACCTTGAGATTAATCTGAGTTGAAGTGGAGCATATGAATAGATATATTTTCATGAGTGCTCATTAGAAGTATGCATACACGAGCTGTAAACAGATCTGAAGTAGAAATGTACCATGAAAATATGTTAAAGAAAATTGACATTTAAAACCAATAGCTTATGTGTTGAAATAGGAAAAAAAAAGATTATTCTGATTGGATAACTACATTGGTATTTATCTCTATCCTAAACAACACGGATTTTACAAATACAAAACAATATGTTTGATGTATGTGTGTATACTAAAAAGATATTTATAGAAACACACAATCTAGTTGGGAAATAGAAAAGAACATGAAGATGTCATAGAAATCCCTCACACAAAAAGGCTCACATGGCCTTAAAAAACACTTCTTTAAGGTAGGAGAAAGGGAAAGATCCTACTACATTCTTCATCCCTGCCACCCTCCTGCATCATCAGGAAGCATCCCATATTTCTTTTTAACATTAAGAATGCAAGTATTGGTAGAACCCCAATGAACTTACTCAGATAAACACAATGTGGTTTTCTTTTAAAATAAGCCTTTACTGAATATATCAACAAGGTACTGTATAGTGTGGAGTGAAGTTGATAGTTAACAAAGTGTGTGACATGGTAGGTCTCAGAGGGTGTGTAATGCAGAATCTTCCAGCCCCTTGCAGTCCCTTGTCACTGAGAACATACTAAACGTAAACCAGAAGCAAATCAACGTATGGTTCAAACAATAACAAATCACTGGAATTAACTTTCAGGAAATATATACTGGTCCTAGGAGGAACAGACAGTGGCAACAGCTTCACCTTACCTCAAAAAGGTTATAAATCTTACAACCTATGGATATCTTTATAAATGCCTCTGGGTGTGCATTTGTGTGTGTGTGTGCACACGCACGTGTGTGTTTCATACTCGTTTAAAAATGTCTGTTGCAATGGCCTTGCTTTGTGCTCTTCGGTGAATGTGCCGCTAGAAAAAGAAAAATGATAGCACAAGACTCTGATCCATTTGTTACAACAACAGTATCATACATGTACAAATCTTTCTCCCCACAATCTGTGACAAACATCCCCGTTGCCAGTAATTGTCTTTTGACCCTGCTGAAGAAATCAGAGAAGGATGTAAGCTACGGCTTTCTTCATTAGTATTCTGACTGAAAAAAAAAAACAAAAACAAAAACAAAAAACAAACAAACAAAATCAGGCCAGTTTTGACTACGATTAAGAACTAGGAGAGTGTTTTGTTTCATGTTTGTATCTCTTCCCCTTTGGGGCACAAAGAAACTGCTTTGCTTTCCCATGAAGCAGGAAAATCATGGGCAAAACCATTCTTCTCATGTTCTAAAGTAATGTCTTCTTGTTGTAGGTTCAAGAAAAATGCTATACGCAAAGATGGCAATGGAAATGAACCACTTCATGGTCAAAAGTTGCACTGAGCTCTCCAGCTGAGGTTCCCCAGACTAGTGCAGCAACTGTTCCCTGTAAGTTGTGTTTGGACTGGTTGTCCTGCTGGCCGCGTGCAGAGCAGGTTTTCCACAAAGGGGAAGTATTGTGATCTTGTGAAATGACTTAGACCATCATGATCTGCACTCATAGGAAATGGGGACTTAGAATTAGCTATTTCATTAATAATTTTGCCAGACTAGTCACATTACAGGTTTTTTGTTTTTGTTTTTGTTTTTGCCTCAGGGAACATATCTAATATATTTTCAACAAGCATCCAGATAATTAGAAATTGCATTATTTCTCATGGGATGGAATGTGTTCCACTTCTTACACAGGGAAACACACTTTTTGTCTCTGTCCGTGGTTGTGCATTGCAATGACTGTTAATGCATTTGAGAGTTTTGTGGGAAGCCCAGAGCCTCTCTCTATTCAAGCACGTCTCCCCAAACAAATAGGTATTAGTGACAACCCTGGGTATGAATAACGATCCATAATATCTGTGTGATCATGGCTATATCTTTTCCTTTTAGAATTTCCTTTGCACAGTGACAGTCCCCTAGCTCTGAAAGTGGCTGCGTATTATCTGATCATCTTGTTTGGTCAAACAGCGTCAAGCTCTTTATAAGCCAGTCCGTTGTGTATGGCTTTGTTCACGGACTGGGCCTGCACCTTCAACTGTGACTCTTGACTAATCTCAAAATACAAAACAATGACAGCAAAAGAGGCTCGAATACAGAGTAGAACACATTCCTGTGACTGCAAATGCCAGTCAAACCCTAATCCAACACCTATGGTTGGTTATTCAGCAGTTTTCCTAAGACACATAAAACATTACAAATACAGTGATGTGCTTTCTATCCTGGTATAAGCGAGAGCCCCAGGTATGCCATGACAAATGACACATTGATATGAATTTTAGCAGTCTCTGCCATATTGTGTGCAAGAGCAAAGTGAAGCCTATAACTACATTCTATCTCTTCAGGAACATCTTCTAGCAAAGGAACCACTTCAAGTGACTAGGTCTTCATTGTACCAGTTAAGCCCCAAATAATTTTATGAATCCCATAAGACGTCATAGAAACCTCTCCAACATTGGTCTTCTTGGCCCAAAGCAAAAATGTCTCAGCAGCCAAATACCACGCTAGGGTTATACACACAATAGAAATAAGTGAAAATGATTATTTGTGGATAAGAGAGAAAAAAACCCTCAAAAGTCCAAGTACCATCATTTCAACACATTGTTTTATCTACACAGCCAAGGGGAAGAGGACAGTGGAAGGGAATTATCCAGGTAAGTACACAAAACCCCATGTCATTGTCCTGAATGTTACATGGCTTACCGTTTACACTGATCATCTTCACAGACTGTCTTGTCCCTTTGCTGTGTGGAATTAGATTTAAAATAGCAACAGCCAAAATTTGCTAGCTAATAGACTAAAAGGGAAACCTAAGTCACTTTAGAATTAATTCAAATTAATTCGTAGCTAATTTCAGCTCAACTCTCTGCAGTTTTGATTCTTGCTTCTACAACATTATAACTTCAGTTATATTTTCTGCTTATTCTGAGGGACAAGGGAGATTAAAACATATAAGTTGGGGGTACATTATTAAAGAAAATAAAGCTCTTACTATAAAGAAAAACTTGCATAGCATTTTATACCTAAACTCTTACAAAGAAGACACATCACAGTTCTATTTTGTTAAAAGTGAGAGAGAGAGAGAGAGAAAGCGAAAATGATTGTGACATTAACTTCATAGGTCCCTAAAAAATGGCCAGCGGTAAAGGAAATATGCAACATAGGATGAAATTTGATTTTATAAGGAATTTTCCAAGGGTGTGTGTATTTTAGATAATGTATGCGATCGATAGCCCTTCTACATCTAAGGGATGAAAAGGAGTAAATTATACATACTTTGTGAAGATGGGCATTGCTTCAAAAATATCTAGAATTAAACACAACATCTCTCCCTTCCCTGTGCCCTCTGCTGTATGCCCCACTCTGCCAAGATTAGGGGAACAAGCTCACACTCCCTGACTTGTTCATTTTTCACGTTATCCTGTTAATAAAAGATTGATCATCCCTCCATGGTTCCCAAACAAGAGGGACATCCAAGACTGAAAAGGAATAAATGAAATTTCAAAACTGGAACACTGGTCAAAGTCAGTTCAAAGTGGAAGCTCAGTATTGCTTTAAAAAAAAAAAAAAACCATCCAGCTTTGATGTGTCCCCATAGAATTATTAACACTGAAAATTAGTATACATTTTAAAGTGTTTAAGTATATATGGATATTTTGTGCAACCAAAACTGTCATCTAAAATTTTCTTTCAAATTTTAAGCAGAGTGGGAAAAAAATCAAACAAATGTAGCATAAATAGCTAATTACGAAAATATATGTGAGGTGATTGGAAGACAAATTTGCGAGGGGATAAAGGTATTAATGCAAGCTATTTCAACATGATATGTGTTAACACAGTCATTTGATAAAGTATAGCAGAAACACTCATGACTTGTTTTTGTCTAAATGGTATCAATAGTTTTTAAATAACAAGTTCAGTATATTCCAAACACTAACCTCTTGTTGGTCTAAATATCAGGTTGACATAGCTGCAGTGAATCTACCCAAATAATTCTCATTATCAAAAATAATTCCATTCAATATAATTCTTCCCATTATTTTATTAGCCTCTTCTAAAAAAGTATTCTAGAATATATCTCTGTTGAATGTGATTCAACCTGACATATAATTTGAATAGTAACACTTTTAAAGGGAGTTTTCTTGCTGGAACATCCTACCTGTCCCTGCAGATGACTGAAATCAGACTCAGGTCTCTAACTCTGTTATCATATAGGGTCAGGGAAGCATGAGGAGTGATTTTTAAGCTCCCGGTCAGAAAGCCAACACCCGAGTTTGAAGTTCTTTTCCGAAATGTCATTTGCTGGGTTCTGCCGGGTTGGGTTAACTTATCTTACAGGAACGGGCTTCCTCATGATGCTTTTCTCTATTTCCTGCTTTGGGTCAACTCAGGGTAGCTACCTCCTTTCTTCTATTTGGAGATTTTTAACTTCTCTTCCAGACTAGGAAGGGCAGAAATAGCATGAAGGTATCTGGGCCATTTCTTGTTTCACCCCCATCACTTAGCCTACCCTGATGAGCTCTTCTAATCTGCCCTTTCATGTAACCACCGGCCGACGGTAAGAAAGGAATTTACTCTGACAGCTTCCACAGCAAAAATGGTTAATGTGCCTCATGAGGAAGAATCACTCCGTCTTTTGCCTTGGCGTTGGGTTCTCCTTGTACAACCCTGTACAGTACTTCAGCGACTATTTTTTTTTTTAAGATTTAAAAAGCAAAGAGTTACAAAACTGTTTGTAATTAACTTGAAATAGAAAAGATAGCACTTTTTTTTTTTAAATCCCATGATATAGTACACCGTATAAATTACAGAGTATTCAAATGCACAAATGCATCTGGGTAACATTTATCAAATGTAATTCGCGCGTCTCTAGGTGCGCACACGTGTGTGTTCTGGAGAGTCTCACCGTCCGCCTTCCTAACGCCGGGGCTCTGGCTGTCACGTGTGGCAGTGCTCCAGATCTGGAACGCCGCTGTTGCAGTATCGCATGTTGTTGGCGATATGGCAGTCTGTGTAATTAATGCCCCCATTCGGGGTGTAAATGGGCTGCAGTCTGAAATCTCCTTTAAGGAGCTGATCGTTATTTAAGGAGACGATCTGAAAGCTGGTTTCGGTCATCTCCAGGATGGAATTGTCCTTCTTGGTGCCGGCCTCGCAATAGTCATCTTTCCGCCGACCTCGGTTGTACTTCCACTTCTGGGACGTGTAGCGTCCCTTTTTGTGCATGCGCCAGCAAAACACGCTGAGCAAGACCACGAGCACGAATATCACTGCCCCCCCGATCAGGCCGGCCAGCAGAAAAGGGGAGCCCATGCTGTGGGAAGTCGTCTGCTCGTGGCTGGAAGCAGTGTTGCTGCCGTTGTTCAAATAGGAGGCGTGGGTGGTGGCCTCAGAGCAAATGGTATCTTCCACAGCTCGGTAGTTAAAAGCATCCAGGGGCACCAAACAAATCCGGTAGGTGGATCTGGGCTCTAGGTTCACCAGGCTCAAGTGCTGCTTCTCACCGCTGACAATGCGTTCCTGGACGATGCCGCCCACCAAACTGTGGCCCATTTTCACCCACGTGAGTTTGTATGCCATCACCGTGAAGAGAGAGAGCCAGCTGACTTGAATGGACGTGTCGTTCACAAAATGGATAGAGAGCTGGATCCGTTCAGAAATTGGCGGGGTCGCTCTTTCCCTGCCGTCCCAGTCAGGAATGGTGGGCAGCCGGGAGGTGGTGGGAGTCAGGGGGGTATTGCTTCTGCTGGGGGTTGGGGCAGAGAAGGGGGGGGGCTGAGTTGTTGGAGAGGCTGTACTTGGGGCCGGGGTGAAGACGGGCAGCCCAGGGGTCGTGGTGGGGCACGACAAAAGATTCATATTCAGCTCCCTGACGGCCATCCCCCGGACTTGCTCGGGCCCCTGGCACATGAAACCTCGCACGTTGAGAGATGAAGGGATGTATCTGAGCCATTCTGTGACCCATTTAATGCTGCAGTCACAAAACCAGGGGTTATTCCGAGCAGTGAGCTGCTTCAGGTTGGAGAGATTATCAAAGACCCCTTGAGTCAACACACGCAGCTGGTTGTTGGATATATCCAGCCGTTCCAGCTTGCGCAGGTTTGAGAAGGCTGTCAGAGGGATGTGGTTGATCTGGTTGTCCTGCAGGTAGAGCTTGATCAGATGTGTACCTGGGAGATCGGGAGGGGGGTGGGAGAGGGAATTCCGCACGATGGAAAATTCCTTGAGCTTGGTGAGGTGGCTGAAGGTGCCCTCGGCGATGCCCTTGTTGGTCAGGAGGTTGCCATCCACGATCAGACGCTCCAAGCTTGTGAGGTTCTGAAAGGCCATGTCTGATATGACAGCGATTCGATTTTCATCCACTCTCAGCTCTTGCAAATCCACAGGAAGCCCCACAGGCACACTGCTCAGGTGATTCTTGGATAGAAACAACAGTTTGAGGCTAATAGCCTCCCGGAAGGCCCCGTCCTCCACCCCCACTGTGGATATCGAGTTGTCATCCAAGTGAAGCTCCTCGAGCTTCAAGAGCTGGGCCAGAGCAGCCCGTGAAATGGTCTGAATGTTGTTTTCCTGCAAATGGAGAACTCTGACGTTCTTGGGAAGGTTCATAGGGAATTCATCCAGTTGGTTGCCATAAAGGTAGACCGTGTGCACGGACCGGACGTTGTGCAGTTCTGCAGGAAATCCAGCATTATTAATTTGGTTGTTGTGGAGGTAGAGTACGGTTACGCCCTCCGGGATCCCAAGAGGCACTGAGGTCAAGCTTCGCTCATTACAGTAGACAAAGTTCCTATCGCAGCGGCACACGCTAGGGCACGCCAAGATTTCTGACACTTGTGAGTAGAGCCCCAAGGAGATAAGAAGCCAAGATTTCAGGAAAAAAGCCCTATGGTTGGGCCACTGTGTGGTCTGTAGGCCCATTTCTGAAGTACAGAAACAAAATACAAGGTGGTAGGGAAACTAAAAAGAGAAGAAAAAGAAAATTATATATATATATAGCAAAACCAAAGTGATTGGACAGGGTTCTGTTAAAGTCCAGAACTCCAAGTAGAGGAAAAGTCTTGAAGGCCTGTGGTAAAAGAATTCTCCTATGGTCTCTGGTTTTATCAGCCTGTGTTGTCTTCTTTGTTATTGTCCTCCATGTGAAAAAAAAAAAAAAAAAAAAATTCAATAGGGAGAATTTTCACACACAGGTAATGAGTGAAGCCAAGTTTTCAGCAGTCACCAGGGGCCCAGCTGGGCAGGCAGAACTGGAACTCCCTTCTCGTACTGTAGATCAGGTCAGCGTTGATCAGACTCTGAACTTCTTGGTTAAACTCAATCTGCAACCTGTTGTAGGAAAGCAAAGAGAAAAAAGTCAGCTAAGGTCCTAATGGATGAAGGGCTAATCTGATTCTTTGCCCTTCAAAAACTGGGACCAAGTGACCAGAGAGGCAGGAGCTGGCTTAAAGTGATGTTTTAAGTAACAATAATTTGGTTGAAAAGGTATTCAAGAAGGGAACATGATTCAATGTTGCCTCTCACCCTCAGGGGTCACCCTGTGAAATTTACATCCCCATCAGTACCTTCTCTTACATATTCATTTGCATAACCAAATAGAAAAGAACAAGGCTCACTGTTGAATACACTGAATCAATCCTGATGATCACCTACAAACCAACTGGTCACATCTTGTTTCAAGACGGCACAAGCGACTGAGTAATTAATACAATTTGAGGGCAAACACATGAAACCCTTTCTAGTTATAAATAAACAAAGGCAAGACAGGGACTGATGAAGTCCTTTAAAAAGATGTGTCCTTTTGATATGATGCTAAATGAAATAAAGTCAGAGAAAGTAAAATACCATATGATCACTCATATGTGGAATTTAAGAAATAAAATAGATGAACATTGGGGAAGGGAAGGAAAATGAAACAGGAGGAAAATTGAGAGGGAGGCAAAACATGAGAAATGCTGAAGTCTAGGAAACAAACAAGGTTACAGGACGGGAGGTGGGTGGGGTGATGTGATAACTGGGCGATGGGCATTAAGGAAGGCACGTAATGGAAAGAGCACTGGGTATTACATGCAGTTGATGGATCACTAAATTCTACCTCTGAAACTAATTTAAAAAATAAAATAAAATAAAAAGATGTGTCCTTTTGATCTGACATTGTGAGGGAGAGGGATAAAAGTAACACACAGAAGCATGCATGAAGGCAGAGAGAAGATTTCTCTTTTCTTCCCCACTTTTTGCCTCTTTTCATCTTCACTCTTTTCCAAAATAGTTTACGCTTGAGTTACCAAGGAGAACGACTAGGCTCCAGTCCATGATAACATTTCTATTTATTCCCCCTTTCGGGACCTCCACGTACAGATGCCACGTACAGATGAGATACACCCTTCCAATCTCCTTGAGAGCTGCCAAGCTCATGACTGGGAATAAGTTATTTTTCAACTCTACCACCTTCCTCTCCTCTGTGAGGGCTTTTTTTCTACTTTTCAAGAAGAACCTTCAGCAGACTTTGAAATGATAGCACACCCGGCTGGGGAAGTAAAGGCAAATGATGCCTTCCTGCTCTGTGTGTTCTGTCTGTTTTTAGATCAGAGAGGTAAAGCAGTTAATTGAACGGTGCCAGATTTGATTTCCTTACAAAATAAGCTAACATGACAGGACATGGCAAGCTATGAGTTTCTTAATTCTCACCAACAGACAGAAACTCAAAACAACTTATATCTAGAAGCACAGAGGAACTACTTGAAATTGTTCCCTTAGTTATCTTTAGAAACATAATTTTAAAAAGAAAAAAAAAAACACTGTAAATGCTGTTTAAGTGTCAAGGATATTGTAAATTTGTTCCACAACTTAAAAAAAAAAAATTGTGAACACCTAAAAAAAAAAAAAGCCTCTGGTGACCTGAAACAGCAAAATGCATGTCTTACTATTCAAAAGCTTTTAAAGGGAAAGGGGTGGGATAGGGAATGTTTGTCCAGGCAAAAACTGCCTAAGCTATGATACTGCATGTAAAAACCAAACATAATTTAATTTGTTAAGACTTAAAAATATACGTTTCACCACTAGACAGGAGCCATCCCCCTGCTCCAGCAAAAATCTCCCTATCTGCTTAAAGAATAATTTATAATACAAATGGGATAGTACAGGAAAAATGAGTTTAATGTCATCAGCCTGATGTCATCCTTAGCTCAGATTTCAAATTTTAAAGCCATCTCAGTGTTCCCCAATAGCTTGCTATTGGAAGGTGATCCTGGTCCAGGAATGTGAACTCAAGCTGGGAAGTTGCTGGAAAAGCAGAATCTGCATGTTAGCAAAAACCTAGGATGTGCATGTTAACATCTGAGAGGCATTCCCTAAACACAGTAACATCTTATTTAATCATTCAAACGTTTTATTTTATTAACTATAAAACAAATGCAAGAGCATATCAAATAACTCTTAAGGAAGAGGAAAAGCATAAGGCATATTGATCACTTTGGTCCCCAGGAGATAGTCTCAAATTGTATCTTCTACATAAATGACGTCTTGTAGAAGGAGCAGTAGTGCAATGACATACCATACACTTGGCCTCAACATACCCTTGAAAATGTATGTATGAGTGACAAGCACTAAAGCCCAGTAGAAGCTTAAAAAGTTTTTTTGTAATCAGGGAAGCCCACTTGATACAGCAGGATTTATTTAAGAACAAACATTTGTTTGGTGCCATTAGCATTTACTCTTCACAGGAGGTAGGAAAGTGAGACCCATAGAACAGAACCTAACCCAGTTCTGAGTATTCCACAGGAATCTTCGACATGGGATGCCAGCACAGAATAAATAGAATCTTCGGAGAGAAAAACAGCTGCTCCAGAGTTCTAAGTTCCTAAGCAAAAAGAATGGATGTTTCTTAACTACGTTTATAGCCAAGTTTTAGGGCCCTGGAAACAAGGAGCTAGTACTTGAGGATGATCTAAGTTACTTAGAAAAGTCATCACGTGACAACCGCAAAGCAATAATCACTGGGAGGTAACAAAGTACTCAGGTTTTGGACCTGGAAACTATCATGCTCCCAAATTACACATTTTCCATTTGTCTGCACCTCGTCTTCTGTACGGAAGGGGAAAAGCCCCACCCACCCCCCTCACCGTTTGCCCCAGGCCTTGCTCTCTTGCTGACAGACTCTACTTAGGAGTGCTTCTTTTGTAATTATGTAAGAGGAGGATGTGGTCCTGAAGAAATCCTCTAATAGGATTACTTCGGACAAACTGTCATGGTTTATCCACCTTAACAGAAGAAAAGTCCCATCAAGATCACAATACGTTAATCAGCTATGACAACTTCAGTTCTGAATGAAAACAAACTCTCAGGGTTTTCTTGGAATTTCTTGAGAATCCCACAAAATTACAGCAAACAGCAGATTTGTTGTAATCCTTGCATCGATGACAGCCTATATATGTCAGTCAATATACTGTATCTTTGTTCAAATTAGTGCAAGTGTAAAATTACAAACATCTAGGCAATAATGACTTTTTTTTTTTTTTTCATTGAAGTAGGCTAAAATTTCTTCTATATTTTCAGGCTAATTCGTATGTAATACTGAGAGCAGAAATGCTTTCAGACCTTAAGCTGAAGACTCTATTCATAAAAGAAAGATGGGATCCAGAGGGAGACAAAGTACAAGAGACTCAATCTCAGGAACAAACTGACGGTTGCTGGGGAGTGGGGGATAGGGATGGGGGCGCTGGGTTATGGACATTGGGGAGGGTATGTACAATGGTGAGTGCTGTGAATTGTGTAAGACTGATGTTTCATAGACCTGTACCCCTGAAGCAAATAATACATTATATGTTAATTTAAGAAAAAAAAATAAGAAAAATAAAAGGAGAAAAAAAAAAAAAGGAAAAAAGAAAGCCTTATAGTAGAATGGTCAAACGCATAGCCCCCCAGTTCTTGTCCCACTCCTGACAAGGAGTAGCCTCAGGATCTTGACCTTTGACACCTTCCTTCCCTCACCTGAAAGATTAGGATAATAAATAGCTCCTATCTCGTAGTATTCTTGAGAGAATTAAATAAGATAGTATTTGCAGAAAGTTTTCATGATGTCTGACACAGGCAAGATCATAATAAATAAAAACTATTATTCTCTCCCTAATTATGGTTATTTATGTTGTCCAAAGAGGTGAACTCCAACATGTACTGCAAAATAAAATCACCTTGAACCTGCTAAGTTCTATGCCTTTCCATATACTCCAGAATTTCTCAAACTCAGCACTATTGACATTTTGGGCTGGATAATTCTGTGTGAGGCTGCCATGAACATCCAAAAATGTTTCCAGTCACACTGTCATATGTCCCCTGGGGTGACAAAATCACCCCCAGCTACGAACCACTGACCCACAGCATCTTATAAGTGCCTTAGAAGATTAGCATTATTATTCTAATTTTATAGAAGAAATTGAGCATAGATTTCAAATAAATAGAAGCTAAAAATGCTTCTTGTAATGGACACCAAAAAAACCCATGAAAACGTAACATGTTTTTCATTCATTTATTCAACCAATATTTCTTGGGCACTAGAATGAGAATACAGTCTGAGGCGGAGCTAATGTGGGTTTTGGCTTCATGTGCTTGACTAAAGTCAGTGAGGGGAGAGAAATTAATAAGCAGGGAATTACGGTACTATGTAAAGTATCCCACTCTTAGGGTATCAGAGAATTACGGTACTGCATAAAGAGCTCTAACCTAGTCCCTGGGGTATCAGGAAAAACGCTGCAGGACAGAGATTGTCTCTGTGCTGGTCTGAAGGCTAAAAAATTGCAAGCAAGGGAAGAGATTCCAGAAGTTCTGCACATGGACCCAAGCTGGTTGTAACAGGGATCAAAAGGTGAAAGCCAGTCCAGCCGAGAGAAGAAATAAAACTTGGACAGCACGTTCTCCCAACTCTGCCTGCTTCTCACTTGAGGAGTCCTACTTCCAGAAGATAATAAACAAACCTATGTTTCAAGTTCAC